CCGGCCGGGGGGGGGGGAGGGGGAGAGGAGGTCCAGCTGGGAGCAGCCCAGCCTCAAGGGAACAGGGCGGACACCACGCAGCCCAAGGGTACTGCACATAGCACTAATCCATGGCCATCTATGGGACACAGTAGCTGCCCCCAAGGGAAGGCCACCCCCACATGTAGCCCTCCCAGGATCCCCTCGCCCACCTCAGGCCCCCCTGCTGCACTTAGGGGAACCCCCCCCCACCAGTCTTACCTGTCCCCAGGCATTGTGGCATGTGCGGTGGCATGAGGAGAGCACAGGGCGCCTGGAACACCATGGGGCAGGGGTCACTGACCATCTTGCTCTCCTCTGCTTCATCTGCAGTGGGACCTCCTGCCAGCGAAGGGCCTTCCAGCCCTATCCTGCTGGCACCAAGGAGCCAGGGCCCATTGCAGCGCTCCCGAGACCGCTACCACCTTCTCTGCTGCCACGTCTATGCCATTGAGCGCATGGAGGGCTCGCTCACAAACAAAATATGTGCCAATGAGGAGTGGCGGGAGTGGGGACTGAGCACTGTGACCGCACATAAACCCTCCTGAGCACCATTGCGGAGCGCATGGGCCCTGCACTGCAGCACACCATGGCCAGACCCCCTCCTGTTGTCCCCTCTGCCTTGTGCCCAGTCCTCCCCCCACTTTGCCCCCTGATGTGCCTGTGCCCTGTCCTGAGGCCCCCGACATGCCCATGCCCCGTCCTGCAGCCCCCCAACATCAGCACCTCCTGGTGCAGTCTGTCTTGACCCGGCATGAGGGGCAGAGGCGACCCTGCACCCGTGGGGGTGGGAGAGGCCTCCCCTCACACCCATGAGGCCTTCCCAGTTCAGGGCCCCCTCCTCCCAGTTCAGGGCCCCCTCCTTCTCCCTCCCCACAGTGCACCCCCTTCCCCATGTAAATAAAAATGCCTTATATAAAGCAAGTGCATTTTATTTATTGGGAGGTGAGGGAAGGTGGTAGGAAGGGGTGATGATGGGAGTGGGAAGTGGGGGCATGGGTGCATGCGGTCAGAGGTGTAGGGGCAGCCTATTGTGGGGCCTGGTCCAGCATCACCCAGAGGGCTTCCCGGACCCGCACCCCGTGGTGGTTGGTCTGCCGGGTGGCGGCCATGTGGGGTTGCTGGTAGGCCTGGCCCTCACCTACCATCCATACCGGGAGGAAGGCCTCCCCCTTCCCCTCAATAATGTTGTGGAGCACGCAACATGCCTAGATGACATCTGGGATGTGGTGCACCCCCATTTCCAGGTGGGTCAGGAGGCACCTAAACCATGCCTTCAGACGGCCAAAGGTGCACTCCATGGGATTGTGGGCCAGGTCCAGGTGGCTGTTGAAGGTGGCCTGGCTGTGGTCCAGGTGGCCAGTGTATGGCCGCATCAGCCAGGCCATCAGGGGGTAGGCCGCATCCCCCAAGATGCACACTGGCATCCTGACATCCCCAATGGTGAATTCCCTCTGGGGGAAGTAGGTGCCCGCCTCCAGCCTGTGGCACAGGCCTGAGTGCCTGAAGATGCAAGCATCATGGGCCCGCCCGGACCACCCCACATAAATGTCCTGGAACCGGCCCTGGTGGTCCACTAGCACCTGGAGCACCACAGAGCAGTAGCCCTTCCGGTTTATGAACCGGGCCGCTTGGTGCTTTGGCACCCAGATGGGGATGTGGGTCCTGTCTACGGCTCCCCCACAGTTCGGTAACCCGAGGCTGGCGAAGCTGGCAAAGGTGGTGTCCACGGCACAGGTCCGCCACAGTTTGGGAACTCAAGGCTGGTGAAGCCGACAATGGTGGTGTTCACTTCACGGGGGCAGATGACCCTCTGGAGCAGTACGTCATTGATGGCATGGACGACATGCAGAGAAGCACATGGGAGCATGAAATGAGACACAGTGCATACATGGGCCCCTGGGGTGTGCTCAACTTTTCTTTCCTGGCCCCTTCCCCCACGCAGGACAGGACCCTCTGCCCCCTGGGATTTCCCCACCACCACCAGCGGGGCTGTGTGCAGAAGGGACAGCATGACCCCCTGGGTGCGGGGCTTCCCCCTGCCTCTACAGCCTCCCCCCACCCAGGCTGGCCCCTTCCCTCTCGCAGGACGAGCCCATGATCCACGGAGGGCCTTACCTGCCAGACGACTGTGCTGATGATGGACCTGCCCACCCCAAACTGGTTTGCCATGGAGAGGTAGCTGTCTGGGGTGGCCAGTTTCCACAGGGCAATCACAACCCTCTTCTCCATGGGAATGGTGGGGCTCAGGTGGGTGTCCTGCTTCCGGAGTGCAGGGGTGAGCCAGGTGCAGAGCTCATGAAAGGTCCCCCTGTGCATCCTAAAGTTCTGCACCCATTGCTGGTTGCCCCATTGTCCCAGCACCAGGCGCTCCCTTCCTGTCTCAGGTGGGAACGCGACTGTGAACAAGGGTCTCCTCTGTCAGGGGAGCTCTGGCCAGTGAGGTGGGATCAGGCTTGGCAGAAATCTCTCCCAGAGACTCACAGGCTGGAGAGATGTTTGTTGGGAAGCATTTTGTAAATGTTGATGGATTTAAACAATTCCCTCAAGTGGTGGGTTTGAAGCTTTCATTTAAAAATTGTCTCTATTCAGATGTTCACAGTTGTAAGGAATTAGTGTGTGTGTGTGTGTGTGTGTGGTGGGGGGGGGCTGTCAGCCAATGAGAAGCAATAAATAATGATTTACTGGCAGTCAATACTGTCACTTACAAAGCTTTACGGGCATAGATCGATGTAACTACAGAAAGCAAAGGGGCTGTGCCTGCTGCCACTTCCCTCAGCTCCCATTGGCCGGGAACAGGGAACCTTAGCCACTGGGAGCTGCAGGCGTGGGGCCTGTGGTTGAACAACACCAGCACGAGGCCTGGCAGCTGCACTCATATTGCTCTGATGGGCTGCACATGTCCGTGGGCTGCAGGCTTCTCATCACTGTTCTCAGGGGAGACTTTTGTGCCCCTGGGTTCTGCTTAGAGAAGGAGGCCAACAGTTATCAACTATGTTCACTCCCTCTGGGTACGTCCAGACTTTAGGTCTTTTCTTGGATACCTGCAGGATCCCGGAAAAGCTCTGCCGTGTCCAAGGAACATGTCTGCTTTTACGAAGAAATTATCAGAAAAGTGGACATGTTTTGTCATCATCTCTGTACACCTCAATTTACGAGGAAGAAAGGATGTTCCAAAAGACACTTTTTTTTGAAAATTTGCAGACGAGCCAAATTTCAGAAAAGCCTGTTTTAGAAGTAAATCGGAAAAAGATATGCAATTTGCATACTGCAAATTGTGTTTCTTTTTCTGAATTATCTTTGTAGTCTAGACATAGTCTTTGAGGTATCTGGCACTGGCCACTGTCAGCAGACAGGATACTGGGCTAGATGGACCAATATGGCTGTTCTTATATTTGAAAAGGCACCAATATTGTCCTTCTGATGTCTTGTACCCTCAAGGCTACACTTCCTTTTGAGAGTATCAGAGGGGTAGCCATGTTAGTCTGAACCTGCAAAAGCGGAGAGGAGTCCTGTGGCACCTTATAGGACTTCGGTTAGTCTATAAGGTACCACAGGACTCCTCGCCGCTTTTCCTTTTGAAGACCATGTCCTCCACAACACGTGTCATCTCATCCTGGAACTTTTCCATGGAGAGAGGTGCAGAGTTGAGCAGAAGGCTCAACAGTGCCATTTCCCTGTGTGCTCAATGCTCACCCTGGTGACCTAGGCCTGTCACCTTGAACTGGGCAGTGAATGCCCTGGTGCAGAAGGAAAATAAACACCCTTGTGTTGCATCATTTTTCAGCCTCTCCCCACTCCCCAATGGGCTTTGCTTCTCCAGCTCCCTCTGTGCTCTAACTCGTAACAACTTACATCATCCCACACCATCAGCCAGCTGCGAGGGCTGTGACAGTCTGTGGGAGTCAGGCATCTGCCTGCCAGATCTGTGGCCCAGTAATGCTGCCACTGCATCCTCCCAGGCCATTGGATTCAAAAGGGCCTGGAGTTCCCGGTTGCCACCAAAGCACCCTGTGACATGCTACAGGCAGCTCTGAGGACTGGGGGGAGTGTGGTCTGAGACCTGGCTTCCACTAGCTCTACCTCTTCTGCCCAAGGCCTGGCCCCTTCCAGGAGCTTGGAGCCAGACTCCCCACACACACCTTGCTCAGGGCCCACGTAGGATGTGTTCTCCCCTGCAGAGACTGAAAGACTCCCTAGAGATCTCAAGACAGTGGGGTCCTGGCAGAGGCAATACAGAGGGATGGAGAGGGATGGCCCACTCACATCCCAGGCCTAGGTCACTGAAGTCCAGCCCAGCCCCCTGACTCCCTCTATCCTTGTGCCCCCAGCCCCTGAGGAAGTGGGTCTGGCCCACGAAAGCTCATCACCTAATAAACCATCTTGTTAGTCTTTAAAGTGCTACATAGTCCTGTTTTTTTGTTATTTGTGGGGCTGTTTTTATTGCTTTAATTTTTAAATTTATCCATAATCTCGTGAAGATGGTTTCAAAGGATTTTTCTCGTCACTTTAAGTTGTGACCATGTGCAATCTTACCTTGTCTGTGCACTACTAGGGACTCCCCTCTTTGTGTCTCCAGTACAGAGGGCAGAGTGTCTGGTGGGGGAAAAGGAGAAAGAGACGAGATTTCATGCTTTCGGATTTATAAGAGTATCCCCAGTTTGACCTGACCTAGCCTGGTTTGAATTTTGACAGAGGGGCACAAGGGCGCACACAGGTTTTCAATATAAACATAAACTGATCTGAAACCTTCCTTTTTCTCTCTCATTCAGGAATCTCCCAGCAATGCAGCCAAAAGCCTTTAGGTCTCATACCCAACCTAGGGGAGATGCAATTGTAAGAGATTTATTTTCCTCTCATCCTTCCTTCCCCCCCTCCAGACACCAGCTGCTTTCTCTCATCCACCTGTTGGCTTTTGTCAGACCCTAGACCCAGATCCTGCAAAGACTTTAGCATAAAAGTAATTTTACCCACTTTGGCGCTGTGATGGCCAGCACTCGGTGACTAAAGGATTAAACTCAGGTAGCTCACAAGGCTGTTGACAGGGGGCAGAAGCACTAATGGGATACAGTGCTGAAATTTGACTTGCATATACCTTTTTTGTTTTGTTAATAAAATCACCTTTTTGTAAGGTGATGATTTGATTCTTGTGTCCTGGAAAGACACAGGTCGTTGGTCTGGGTCTGTGTGTGTGTGTCTGCATGCCTCAGACTGAGAGGTCAGCTGCCAGAGACTGCCGTTGTTTTCTCTTTGTTTTCAAGCTCTTTGGTGGTAAAGAGCTTCCCTTTGGAGGCAGTCCAAGTGCTTTCTGCCTGGGATCAAGAAGAAAGGGTTTTTTTCTTTTATTTCACTTGGTGGTGGCAGCTACTCCCTAAAAAAGTCAGTGAATCTGCGACTCTGATGAATTCTTGTACGTAGAGCCTATAGAGGGAAGGTCTCTTGTGGGTCTCCATCTTCTTTACTCAGAGTACCAGAGTGGGGACCAGCCCTGACAGGTGCCTTTGACAGGAATGGGATGGTAACAGTTTGCAGGGTCAGGTCTCACCATTGTAAGCCCCTCTGTTAACTCAGCATCTCTACGGAGCTCAGCACAATGGGGCCCTTGGCCTCCACAGACTGGCACACACTGTAATGCAGTCATTATACAAGGTGAAAACTGGAGCTGGGACAGGGTTGGATCAATGGGCCAGATTCACCCTGAACTGGCCGAGGACTGCAGGGGGCAGTTTGTGACTCTCCTAGTCCATGGATGCAGAGCTCTGTGCAGATCTTGGCATAGGCTAGGGGAGTCTCAAGATCCAGCCAAAGCAGCATCCCTGTTTCTCTGGCCCCATGGGCTTTCCAAGTTGGGAGGGATGAAAAATTAGGCATTTTTGCTAAATTTGGGGCTCAGTGTTGTGACTTTTAGTGAATCATGAATTAATACGAGGTGTGCTGGCACCAGGGCACCTGTTACTCCCACTCAGTTTCTCTATTTTCCATCTTTCACTCAAATGATCCATCATCTAATTATGACCCAGCTTGCCAGAGCACCTCCCATCTCCCTTCTCCTGCTGTATCAGAGGCTCATCCCAATTTCCCCGTCAAGATCCCTTCTCAGCACCTTTGAACTTCCTCAGAGTCTTCACTAGAGCAACAGTTTTCTGGGCGAAATGACAGATTCCCAAATCCAGTTCAGGAGAAATCTCCTCTGGCGGCTGGAACGGCCTCGTCTCACACCTGGAGAGAGACAACGCCATGTACCTGAAGTCCTAGAAAGAGAGAGAGAGAGAGAGAGACGCATCTCAGTTCCATATGAGACATTGGGAACACCCACTAGACATAGAAAGGGGACCTCACCCAAGGGAAGGGATTTTGCAAACATGGGGAAGAGAGGCCCTGCCCTGGCCCCAGGGCCATGGATTCCCTGAGCGAATGGGGCTTTGCCATCTCTACTATCTTTGTGCCTGTGACTCTGCAAAGCACAACAGTCACTCACATGCCAGCAATGCACACGGAGTTACACTGAGATCGGACACCTGGATCTCAGCGCTTGTGATTCAGGAGCATCCCTTCCCTGTATGGGGAGCTGGGTTGTTGCCAACCACTGGCGCTAGTGTCCAGTTGTCCCAGGGCCCTCAACCTCAGGCCTCATCCGCACTCCTGTCCTTCCCCAATGCCACACCCCATACTGCCTTGCCTCTTCCCCACCTTTCTCCTGAGCACACCCTATGCCCAATCCTTCTTCTCCCTCCCAGCATTGCCTTTACACGGTGGAACAGCTGACTGCAGCAGGCAGGAGGTGCTGGGGAAAAAGGAGAAGCTGGCTGCTAAGCACCAACTAATTTTTTCCATGGGTGGTCCAGCCCTGCAGCACCCACAGAAGTGGTGCCTGTGCTTCTCCCTCAGTCTCACCCGCAGGAATTCACTCGCTGGCTTCTGACACTTCCCCTCCAGCTCACTGATCACCTTGCTGAGATGGGAAATCTGTGCGGAGAGTTTCCTGACAGTGTCTTTGTTTTACAGTTTTGGCCCCAATATGCCTTAAAGGGATGTCTCCGGGCCTCCTGGAAAATAATATGTGCAGTTTGGGAGAAGTTTTGTGAACATCACCATGAATAGGAATTAACTCATACATATGTATATTTTAGAAATGTCCGTCTGTGAGTCTCTTTGCTCAAGTACTCCTAAATGGGAAGAGCTAGGACCACCAATTTTGGTTTACAGCTTCTTCCTATCCTAACGTAAAGCAAAGCCAGGGTTTGGCTGTGCCAGGACAATGGGCTGTGCTGGGAAAGGGACTGTTTTCTGTAACATTGAAGGGAGGGGCACAGAGAAGAGGGATGCGAAACTGAGAGTAGCCAATGGGGGTGCTGAGCCTGCAGGGGAAAGCTATATGCAGAGTGGCCACTTGGGGGGGGACGACAGTCATACCACCAAAAGAGTGACCAGCAGAGCTGGGGCTCTGCCATCTTGTCTGTCACCAGACCAGGTAAGTAGCTCCCCCCCCCATCCCAAACCTTTCTCCTCCCCTAGCCCTTGCCACAGCACCAGAAGGAGGTCAGGGAGCTGGGAGGAGACAGAAGGCCGCAGGAGGTGTGAGGGAGAGAGAAGGGCCCTGCTGGCCATTGGAAACTGGGGGTAGGTGGAGAGGCGGAGGGGGTGAGAAAAGGCCCTGCAGACAGGGAAAGGAGAGAAAGTCCCCTCTGGCCCTGAGCGCCTACTCAGCGCCCAACCCTCACTTTTGCCTCGCCCTACCTACACCCATCACCAGCCCCCTGCCCTGAAGGACCAGGGCAATGCCAAGCAAGTCTTGTAGTTACTTTAAATGCATCTTTCATGCTTCAGTTTTTCCCACATATACACAAGTACACACACAAGAGACTATTTCAGGACAATGGAGAAACACACACAAGCCCATGTTCCTCAAAGTCATAGAGAAATCTACCAATAAAAAACCTTCCCACCTCCATGTGAAGCGGACAGGAGGCTGCAGACAGGAGAGTTTGAGAGGGCGCACAAGAGATCCCGCCACTGAACAGGCTGCCAGAAGAGTGGACTAGCTTTGGCGTGAGTGAGTGAGTTTGCTGGACTGTTTGTTTGCATTTTGTTTCTGTTCTGTTGCAGGTGATTTCAGTTACTGTGGTGGTTGGAACTGTGTGACTGGGAGTGTTTAATCTTTTGTTCCCTTGATTGCCTTTGATCAGCCTCACACAGCCTTGGGATCAGCCTCACACTGTGTCGCTATCGAGGGGGTAGTCCTGACCTGACAGGGAAGCTGGGTACGCGCAAAGATCAAAGAGCGCAAACGGCATGAACTGTATCCTGCGCACGCGCACCCAGCTGGAAACAGTTATACAAAGCATCTGAGCTGTGGTACGGGACAAGCCCAACACCATGAGTGAAGCACCCACTGGGACCACTCTAAGAGGAACTCATGGATCATTTCACAGCTCCTAGTCTGTTGAAAATTCCCACATGTCCTTGCTGGGCACTGGGTTTGAAAAGGATTCAGATGCTCAGAGAAAACTTTCCCACATCAGACAAATCCAAAATCTTCCCTTCTGGTTCCTTTCTTGCCAGGCTGGAGTGCCACTGCTTTGCTCAGCTGTTTGCGTACTGTGAGGGATGCACCTTGTGGTGCCAGTAACCAGTTATTAAAATGCAAAGTTATTGCCCATAAGACAGAACAGCAACTCAATACCTTGTGTTCCTGGACAGCTTCCTGTATGGGAACCACTGTCTGAGCTCTGTGAGCATAGGGGTGGGTGGAAAACCAGACAGGTAGAAGAAGTCTGATCATCTTCACAGAAC